AGCCTTTCTAAGCCAGCGGTAGGCACTATCTTGAAATGAAGGGATTTGTCACAGCACTCGGCAATGCAGGAACTGTACCTGATGGGTTGTGTCACTGGCTTGTTGCCGGATTGTTTGTACTTGTGAGCAGGAGGCTAATCGGCATTCTTAAGGAAACCCCAAGATTTGTTGAAATCCACAAAATTAAAGTTGGCACCTGTAGGATAATGCCAGCTAATGCTGCTTGATAAATGAGAGTGTGCATTTATATAGTTAGGTAGTCATATATGGTCCACAGTGTTATCTGGGATGCTACACATCCTCTCCATTACCAGTTTCCCTTGTTATCTTCTGGTATCCAATGCAGAACATCTAGATTCAGCTATAACTGGGGTCAGCAAACTGCGGCTCTGGAGCCGTATGTGGCTCTGGAGCCGCATGTGGCTCTTTCCTCCCTCTGCTGCGGCTCCGTCACTGGTCGGCACCACAATTTTGACAGGATCTTCCAGTGGAGGGGGGGAGGAGAGAAGCACAGTGCGCCAGGAGAAGACTCTATGGCAAGGGGAGGGTTTTCCAGTTGTCTCCACAATTGATAGGGCTTCCGGTTATGACAGGTAGAGGAAAAAGTACGCCGCGCTAGGAGGAGACTCTATGGTGGGGGAAGTGAACTTCCAGTCAGCTCCAGAATTGAACAGGGGGCTTCCAGTTAGGACCTTTGTGGTTCCCGGTGTTTTCTTTTCTGTGGGAAACGGGTTCAAATGGCTCTTTGAGTGTTTAAGTTTGCCGACCGCTGGGCTAGGCCAACTAGCAAGGATTCAACACAACATCATGAAAAGGCACAAACATCCCATTATATTGTTTTGGGGAAATTCAGCACGTTGAGTTTTGGGAACCAGTTTCCCAGCATCCGCCTTCCCAGCTCAGCTGGGACAAAGCCAAGCCATCATGTTCAGGCAAGCTGCAAAGGAGTAAACACACATGGAGGCACCTTATCTACATGCACAGATAAGGAGGGAAGGATTTATAGATTCACCTTTGCAGCGAGTCCTGTACTTATAGCAGTCTGTTTAGTGACAGTTCAAAATTGCAACGGCAATGAAAAAGTGACGTGTGACCGTTTTTTCACACTTACAACTGGCGCGGCATCCCCATGGTCACGTGATCAGAATTCGGCCGCTTGGCACGTGGCTCGTATTTACGACGGTCGCAGTGTCCCGGCGGGGTGTGTGTGTCATGTGATCCCCTTTTGCGACCGTCTGACAAGCAGAGCCGATGGGGAACCCTTATCCGCTTAACAATCTTGTTTCTAACTTACCAACTGCAGTCATTCACTTAACGACGGTGGCAAGAAAGGTCATAAAATGGAGCCAGATTCACTGAAAAATGCCTCACTTGGGGTTAGGGTTTGGGGCTCAGTTGCGGTTGTAAGTTGAGGACTGCCTGTACTATGCAATGCAGTTATGAGCTCTCAATACAGATTATATAAGAGCCACTGAATGAATGAATGAATGAATGAATGAATGAATGAATGAATGAATGAGCATGATTACAAATTCTTATAAGACTTTCTTTACCTGTCGGTTCCTCCCTCCCTCCTTCTCTCTCTCTCTCTCTTTCTCCCTCCTTCTCTCTCTCTCTCTCCTTCTCTCTCTCTTTCTCCCTCCCTCCATCTCTCTCCCTCCCTCCTCTCTCTCTCCTTCTCTTTCTCCCTCCCTCCCTCCTTCTCTCTCTCCCTCCCTCTCTCCTTCTCCTTCCCTCCTTCTCTCTCTCTTTCTCCCTCCTTCTCTCTCTCTCTCCCTCTCTCCTTCT